TGTGTGTGTGTGTGTGTGTGTGTGTGTGTGTGTGTGTTTGTAATTTTTTTGACCAATTCATCAAATTGGGTTATCTTTCTTTTTTTCTTTTGGCTATTACCAAAATGCTCCTATGAACATCCCTGGGAAGTTTTAAATTGCATGATACTGAGGTCATGTTGCAACATAAACATGTAGAATAATAATACTGCATGTAATTCTGGTTTAAAAAAAGTCTCAAAACAGACATAATAGGATGAAAAAAAATTTAGAAAAAGAGAAACTAATCCCAGGGATATGGCATGAAGATGAAATTAAACATTCCAGTGTTTTAATCTGAAATGAGATAATATGAGTAAAGTATAGGAAATTATGATTGGCGTTGATATAGTGAGCCTGAACCTAGCAAGTCTTCAAGAAAAAAAGAAAGAAACTTTTTTAAAAGTAGAAAGATTGATTTCGAATATATCAAATATTCTTTTACACAGCTGTAATAAAAATATGGTCCTTGTTACCTTAAGAAGCTTTGCAAACTGAGTATATAAATAAGCTCAAGAAAGGTTTACATGATACGTATAAAAATATATATCATCATGAAAGCTAAGTTTATAATGGGTTATTAAGAGTAAGTTAGAGCCATTTATGATATACTATTAGCCTTTTAAAATCAATGTAATGAAGGCTATATCATATCTTCTTCCACAAAATATCATTTATTGCTGCTGTCAAATAACAAAATACTACGCTGAATAGAACACTGATCTGACCTAGTATAGCATCACTACTGTTTTTATGTATCTCATAGTTCTGTGATACCCATGTCTTGTGAAATTAAAGAGTAACCTTAGGTTTGCCCTTAAATTTTAAGGATAAATATTAATAAAATATTTTTTACTTATACTGTTTGCCTTAGGCTTTTAAATGTGCATTGTCTTTTTTTATATTAATTATTATACAGTTTTCCATTATGTTCATGTATGTCTAGCTTTTTGTACTTTTGTAAGAGGCATTTTTGTGTAATCAGTGGAAAAGATAAAACTTAAATTCTTCTAGTTTTAATTTTTTTTTGCATTGTTGTAATTATTTGTATATATATATTTATATCTTATTACAGACTCTAGAAGACCCAAATCCATTTGGATTGCAGACTTTGATTCATCAAAATGTTGTCTCTTGTGATCCACTAAATAATAAAGGAAATTCAAATCCAGTGGAAAATAGCTCAGACCAGGACACTCCACGTGTGTTAAGGAGATCATCCAGAATAAAAGTAGGCAACAACACAGATAACATGTATAAGATGGCAGAAAAGATTTTCCCAAAAATACTTGGCTGTGAGAATCAAACAAATAATAACTTTTCAACTGAGAATTTCAGGTATGCTACGAAATGCTACGAAATTATATTTTTCTCTCCAGGTATGCTACAGACTTTATAGATAATTCTGTGCTTGGGACATTAGAGTCAGTGTACAGTTACCCCTAAGTAAAGAACTTTAGTTTTTGTTGTTGCTTTTTTTTTTAAACCCAACAAACAAGTTTACTTTTTTTTTTNCAGTGTCACTGGCCCTCATATGTGGGATCCGAACCGGGGCCCTCTGGCGTCCCAAGCCAGTTCTTAACCATCGCGCCACTCGGCCGGCCCTGGATGCTTTTATTTTTCTCCTGTCTGATTGCTGTATTTAGGACTTCCAGGACTATGTTGAATAAAAGTTGTGAAAGGGGACATCCTTGTTTTGTTCCTGATCTTAAGGAGAATGCTTTTAGCTTTTCCCCACCGAGTATGATATTAGCTGTGGGTATATTATATAGGGCCTTTATTATGTTGAAATATGTTCCCTCTATTCCCACTTTGCTGTAAGTTTTTATCATAAATGGATGCTAGATTTTGTCAGATGCTTTTTCTGCATCTAATGATATGACCATATGACTTTTATTTTCAGTTTGTTTATGTGATGTATTATGTTAATTAATTTGTGGATATTGAACCAAGCTTGCACACCAGGAATGAATCCCACTTGATTTTGGTGTATGATCTTTTCATGTATTGCTGAATTTGGTTTGCTAATATTTTGTTGAGGATTTTTGCGTCTATGTTCATTAGGGATATTAGCCTATCATTTTCTTTTTTTGTAATGTCTTTGTCTGGTTTTAGATTCAGGGTAATGCTGGCTTCATAAAATGAACTTAGGAGCCTTCCCTCCTCTTGAATTTTTTGCGAGTAGTTTGAGAAAGATAGGTGGTAATTCTTCTTTGAAGGTTTGGTAAAATTTACTTGTGAAGCCACCTGGTCCAGGACTTTAGTTTGTTAGGAGCTTGTTGATTACTGATTTGATTTCATTAGTAGTAATTGGTTCAGATTTCCTGTTTCTTCTTTAGTCAGCCTTGGAGTATTGTATGCTCCTAGGAATTTATCCATTACTTCCAGATTGTCCAATTTGTTGCTGTATAGTGGCTTATAGTATTTTCTTATTTTTTATTTTATTTTTAAAATTTTCTGTGGTGTCCATTGTCACTTCTCCTCTTTCATTTATGATTTTATTTATTTGGGCCCTCTCTCTTTTTTTCTTGACGAGCCTGGTTAAAGGTTTGTCAGTTTCATTTATCTTTTCAAAAAACAAGCTCTTGGTTTCATTGATATTTTGTATTTTTTTTAAGACTCTATTTCTTCTACTTCTGCTCTGATATTTATTATTTCCTGTCTGTACTCACTTCGGGTTTTGTTTTGCTGCTCTTTTTCCAGTTCCCTTAGGTATAAAGTTAGACTATTTATTTGAGATTTTTCCTGTTTCTTGAGGTAGGCCTGTATTGCTATGAATTTCCCTCTTAGGGCTGCTTTCAGTGTGTCCTGTAGATTTTGGGTTATTGTGTTTTCATTTTTGTTTGTTTCAAGGCATCCTTTGATTTCCTCCTTGATCTCAGTTTTGACCCACTTGCTGTTTAGTAGCGTGTTATTCAGCCTCCATGTGTTTGTGTATTTTTCAGTTTTTTTCTTGTAGTTGATTTCTAGTTTCATAGCATTGTGGTTCAGAAGACACTTGATATGATTTCAATCTTTTTAAATTTATTGAGACTTGTTTTATGGCCTAACGTGGTCTAGCTTGGAAAACGTTCCATGTGTACTTGAAAAGAATGTATATTCTGCTGCTTTGGGGTGAAATGCTCTAAAATTATCAATTAAATCCACCTGGTCTAGTGTGTCATCTAAGGCCGCTGGTTTCTTGTTGATTTTCTGTCTGGAAGATCTGTTCATTGGTGTCAGTGGGGTGTTAAAGTCCCCTACTGTGATTGTGTTACTGTAAATCTTTGCCTTTATGTCAGTCAGTATTTATTTTATATATTTAGATGCTCCTGTGTTGGGTGCATAGAAGTTTACTAGGGTTATGTTCTCTTGTTGGATTGGTCCTTTTTTTCCCCAAAGATTTTATTGGGGAATTGAGGGAGGGGAACAGTGTTGGGAAATTTGGTAAGGGAACTGGCCAAGTTGTTGTTCTTCAATCTTCATTGTGGAGGGTGCCAGTCGCCATCTGGCTTCCCGTCGGCAGCTTGTGGCCTCTAAGCTCAAGGTGCTGTGTTCAAACTTAGCTGTGGGTGGCGTAGCCACCATCCCATGAGGGAGTCAAACCAGCAGCCTTGTTGTTAAGAGCACACGTTCTATCCACTGAGCCATTCAGGCAGCAGCTCAGCTCAAGGTGCTGTGTTCAGTCTTAGTTGTGGGTGGATGTAGCCCACCATCAAATAGGCAAACTTGCTGTTACATCAGCTGAGCCATCCTGCCACCTGTTGGCAGCTCAGTGACAGCTCAGCTCGGGAGCAGCATCACTGGCCCATGTGGGAATCGAACCGGCGGCCCTGTTGCTCAGAGCTCACACTCTTAAGCCAACTCTTAACCAACTGAGCCACTCGGCCGGCCCTGGATTGGTTCTTTTATGTTATGTAATGTCCTTTGTCTTTTATTATAGTCTTTGTTTTAAAGTCTATTTTGTCCAATATAAGTATTGCTACTCCAGCTTTTTTCTCATTTCCATTTGTGAAATATCTTTTTCCATCTTTTTACTTTCAGTCCATGTGTGCCTTTCGATTTAAGGTAGGTCTGTTGTAGATAGCATATGCATGGATGTTGTTTTCTTGTCCATTCAGCTATCTTATGTCTTTTGATTGGAGCATTTAATCATTTACATTTAAAGTGATTATTGATAGGTACATAGTTATTGCCATTTTATTATTAAAGACATATATTTTATGTCTTTGTTTTCCTCCATTCTTCTTCTTAAAGAAGTCCTTTTTAATATTTCTTCTAATACTGGCTTGGGGATAATGATTTCTTTTAGCTTTTTCTTGTCTGGGAAGACTTTATCTCTCCTTCAATTTGAAATGATAGCCTTTCTGGGTAGCGTAATCTTGGTTGTAGGCCCTTGTTTTTCATCACTTTGAGTATTTCCTGTCAGCCCCTTCTGGCCTGCAGTTTCTGTTGAGAAATCAGCTGACAGTCTTATGGGAGCTCCCTTGTAAGTAACTAGTTGTCTTTCTCTTGCTGCTTTTAGGATTCTCTCTTTGTCTTGAACCTTTGCCATTTTAATTGTAATGTGTCTTTGTGTGGGCCTGTTTGGGACTTTCTGTGCTTCCTGGGCTTGTATGTCTATTTCCTTCACCAGGTTAGAAAAATTTTCAGTCATTATTTCTTCAAACAGGTTCTCAATCCCTTGTTCCCTCTTTTCTCCTTCCGGTACTCCTATGATGTGAATGTTGTTACACTTGAAGTTGTCCCAAAGGTCCTTTAAACTACGGTATCTTTGTGTTTTTTTGTTTTGTTTTTTTTTCTTTTTTTTGTTGTTGCTGTTCCAATTGAGTGTTTTCTGCAACGTTGTCTTTTAAATTGCTGATTTGATCTTATGCTTCATTTCATCTGTTGATTCCTTCTAGTGTGTTCTTTATTTCAGTTATAGTCTTTATTTCTAACTTTTTTATGGTTTCTATGTCATTCTTTATGCTTACTGTCTCTTTGTTGAAGTTCTGAGTTTCTTAAGCATTCTTATAACCAGTGTTTTAAACTCTGTCTCTGGTATGTTGGTTGCCTCCATTTAATTTAGTTATTTCTCCTGTTCCTTTATTTGGGACATGTTTTTTGTTTCCTCATTCTGACTTCTGCTCTGTCTTTGCTTTTATGTATTACGTAGATCTCCTATATCTCTCAGTCTTTGCCGGGTGGCCTTATATAGTATGTGTCCTGTGTGGTCTAGTGGTGCAGTCTCCCTGACCTCCTGTGCATGTGTTCCAGGAGTGTTCCTTGTGTGTGTTGTGTGTATTCTCCTGTTGTAGTTGAACCTTGACTGTTTTTAGTACGTTAGTGGGTAGGAATGACCCAGGCTGACTGGTTGTGAGGATTGGCTATGCCCACAATATATGAGCTGCTGTATGGGGGCTGACTCTTCAGAGGGGGATTTGCCCCAATGAGCTCTTGTGCCTGTTGAGACAACCCTTTGGGTGTGTCGTTTATAGAGCTAACCAGGTAATGCTCTGGTTTGGTTTGAAGTTGTCCTCTGGGTGTGTTGTTTTTGTTGTCTCTTGGGAGGGGCTTCTGTACAGGCCAATTTCAGCCTTGCCTTTGACCAGCCGGGGCTACCTGGTCGAAGCCACCAAGCTATGGCTGGTTGCTGCCTGTGCTGGACCTAGAGGCATGTGTGTGTAGCCTTGCTATGAACCGAGGCTGGCTGCCACCAGTTTTGGGCTTGGGGCAGCTTAGCAAAAGATCCAGGGCCCCCCTAGGCCTGTTGCCACCTGACGGCTGTCTGTAAGTCTCAGTTGTTGAAATGGTCTCAGGTGCACAGACTGGGCTGGTTGACTTGGTGTTGAGAGTGTCTCCAGTGATTACAGCAGTGAGCTTTGTGGGGTGGGATCCTGGAGAGTCACGAGGCATGTCTGGTAGTTTTTACAAAGTTACTGTGCCCCAATAAATTAAAAAAAAAAGTTAATGCAGATTCGGTTCTTGCACCAGCGTGGGATTTATGACCACTTTGCAAAATGCCCTGAGAACACGTTGGCCAGTCATCCCTCACTTCAGGCTCACAGATCCCAGAGAGGTGCTCAAGAGAGGCTGCAGCACAAGTTGTTGCCTTCTGCCTACCACCAAAAGTTCCCCAGGCTGCCATGGGCCACCCACTGCTATAAAAGGCTTCCATAGCTTGTGGGGTGGGGCTGGCCGCCCAGGAGTCTAGAGTGCTGGGGCAGAGGGGGGAACCCATGGCATCACCAAGGTGGTACACACATACAGATTTTACCAAACCAGTGCAATCTCAGATTTGGCCCTTCGGTGAATGGTTTAACATAGAAAAGATGGCTCCCTCCTATAGGCTACATATGAGGCAGGCTCTACACAGG